CATCGTCATCGCCGCACTGGCCAACAAGGTCTGTAATAAACGCCAACGCTGAGAGTCTGTAGCTTCTGACAAGCCTTATACATACATACATACATACATACATACATCCACATATATATATATATATATGGTTTATTCACACCCTGGTTTGGGGGATGACAACATCTAAATTCAGCTTGTTTATTTTGATTGACATGAATTGATTCTGTTTGTATTTCAGGAAAGCTATGTTCCATACAGAAACTCCAAGCTCACCTACCTTCTGCAGGGCTGCTTGGGAGGAAACAGCAAAACGTGAGTTCTTCATCGGTGTAGCTTCAAGGCGTTGTGTCACCTGAGCTGAGTTTATTTATGTTGATTATACTTCTGTCTTTCTCACACCAGCCTGATGTTTGTGAACATCGCCCCAGAGACAGACAGCTTTGGGGAAACCCTCAACTCCTTGAGGTTTGCCAGCAAGGTCAGTGGCATCTGTGGTTGTTTGTTATCTTTTCTATTTGAGAAATACACATTGTCTTGTGTGATAATGTCATTAGGGTTGATTCATTGTCAGAAAAGTTCATAAGAAGCCGAAACGTTTAAAAAAGTGTACCATCGTGCAAGGTTAAAATACTTTTCTTGTTCATTTAACAAAAGATTTCAGTCAAATCTGTTGACAAGTTTTTGAGATAACCTGCTGACTAAGAAACAAATGACTGAAGACGTTACCTTGGTGATGACCGTTGAACGGTGTTGGGGAGAAGCGTCTGAAAACTGATTTTTACAGCAGATGTTGACAAAAATGCTCATTTAATGCACCACCCTCATTTGAGCAATTCAGACTTAGTTCTGGCATTTTCTCATCAATGTGACTTTCACATTTTTGACACGTAACATTTTTGCGTTTTCTGTCTTTACAGGTGAACGACTGTGTTATCGGGACTGCAAGTGCCAACAGGAAGTAGAGTGAAGCTCTGGGAAAAAGCTACAGAAAAAAAACTTACCTTTGTTCTTACTATTTTCACCATTGTGGTCCCAGCGTGAAATGTTCAGTTTCCTGTGTCTTTTACTTACACATTGTGCTGTTTGGTACACTCTGGTGCCAATCAGTAAGAACCAAAACTCTTTTTGTATATTCTCAGGTCCTTGATTAGTGATCACTAACAAAGGCTTTTAAAAATTCCTACACCTTTATGTAAATCAAGTGGATGTGTACATATGCATATTTTTAGTCAGATTTCTTTTTTAATACATATACAGCTCTCAAGAGTTTTTGAAAATTTAATCCCCATTAGTCAAATCATATTTTATCTTTTTACTTGTTTTCAATTTAAATATGGTGTGTTGCATGTAACTTAGCAATAATTGCAAATAAATGTAGTGTAGTTAAACTCATACTGTCATTTTTTTTTTCCATCTGTACTCTCTGGCTCAACATACTGAAATAATAAAGACATTCAGCAGATGGGCTACTTTATTATTTCCTGAGCTGCCTTGTGTTTTGTGCTTCCATAATTGCGGTTAATCTTGTGTACACTGTTCATTTTCCAAAGTATACTGGAGTGTTTTATGTTTTAGAATGTATTTTTATTTCTGTATTGTTTCTTCTACTTTACAAAAATAAAGTTGCAGAGACTAATGGTAAATGTGATAAATCAATCACTATGAATATCCTGTTGCCTTTATTGCAGATTTTACTTTCTTAAGATGGCAAACTTCATTGTAGTTGAGAGTTACATTTACACAACAATCCTGGAGGACAGTCTGTGGGATTAAGAGTCTGGTTCTTTGTATAAAAGTGGCAAAGGATAGATGTTCATTGTTTTACCAGAATCACAGTCACAGTTAGTGTTTGCTTCAGATCGTGTACATTGGACAAAAGATGCACTCTACAAGGCAGCAGCATTATCAACTTTTTTTCTTTTTCTTTTTATGTTTCATTTCTCTGAGCAGTGTGTCACTTATTTGTAAGATTGAAAAGATTTACATGGAATAGATGGAGAGAATGATGGTAATTAAAAGTTGGACATTAAACACAGGTGGCAGTTTATTAGGAAACACTTGGCTAAAACTGCAATAAATCCTCCATTAAGGTTGTAATGTTCAGTTTTACTAAACAGTTTTTTAGAGAGGTGTTGATGGAACTGTATGGTCATTTTTAGAGGATGTAGTTTGTGCTGCTGTTGGACGGTTGTATTGATAAAATGGAGTAGACAAAATAATAGAAACACCTTCAGGTTTTTTGCTGTTGTATTAGCCTGCATTAGATTCAGCCAGATGTTCCTAATAATCTGCCAACTGAGTGTGTATTTACCGTGTGTGTGTGAAAAAAGAAAAAGACAATTTAATAATACAGGTTAATATATGAAATTATTTACTTAAATTATTTTAATTTTATTTTTGATTTCATGTATATTTTAATTATGTCTTATTATTTTCAATCAACCTTCATTTTTTAAACTATCATTTGAATATTAGTAAAATTCACGATATATGTAAATGTGTTTATTTGATTATTTATTTCCTTTTTTCTGTCGGCCGAAGTCTGGCTCGTCTGTCTGGAGCCCGTTAAAGGCGCCGCGTCGCTGTCTGCCGCTGCAGAGCTCAGATGTGAAGAACATGTAGAGAAGATGGTCCTCAAACTTCAGGACGCGGATAAACGGGCGGGACACGCTGTCTTCGGCTCGGCCAGAGACCGCACTCTGATCGGCTGCACTGTCAACTGAAGCGGTGAGTTTAATGTCGGCTGCGGCTCGTGGCTTCTTCTTCTTTTTTTACCCCCCCCCCCCCCCCCCCCCCCCCCCCCCCCCCCCATAGCCAGCCGTGTTAGCTAGCTAGCAGGCTAACGTCACATCTGTAACGGCATGATGAGAGTCTGAGGCTAATGCGAGTGTTTGTGTGTGTGTCTGTGAGGAAGGAGGAGGACCAGCATCAGTGAAACATCTCCACAACAGCAACAGCTTCATTTACAGTCAACAGCTTTTTGCTTTTGTAGGCTTGTCAACTGAAACTGTGTCTGTGCTCCAGCTGTTGATTTTCTCATGCGCTAATAACAGCAACAAAAAAAAAGTGTGATGTGGATATTTCCTGTTGATTAATTGATTACTTTCCAAATGGAGGAGCTGTTTCAGAAATGTGTTGTTATGACGGTCTGTGAGGAACAAACTGACACTGTTGGTGTGAGCTGTTCTTATAACTGTCATTGTGTTGTTATTAAGTGCAATTAGTGCAGGGACAGTCTGGTGGATGCAACATGCAGCACAAAGACAGCCTGAGACTGAGATCTAACAAAGACACTTCAAATACACACTTCAAGCTTTCAGATGCAAAAGTCTGGAATAATTAGCAGTGTATTCTGGTTAAATTAAGAGGTTAACATGCTCAATCAAGGCGACTGCTTCCCTAATTAGCCTCTTTTCTCTGCATTTATCACCTCCCATACATCTCTGATCAAGAATAAAGATGTGATTACAGAGAAGAAAGCATCACATTCAATGGCAATATTCAGCATGGAGTCCTTTAACTGTTTGAGAATTAGTCAGAGTGAGAAATAACTCAAAGTTATCAGGTAATATCAGCTGATTTTTATTTAATAAAAACTTTAAGTCCCCCTGTTTAGCGTTGAGCCTGTCAGCATCAGCACTATATAAATATATATGTTTAATTACTGGTTAAAAACACACTCGAATGACCCCTAAACTGACACAGATTAGACCAAGAACCCCCATCTGATAAAAGTTTTGCTTTTAGATGTTTTGTTGCAGAAAAGGGTTTGAAACCCATGGTTAAAATAATCACACATCCTGTCTTTGTATTACTTCTGGATGGAGTTATAGTGATTTCACCTTTTATCGAACCCCCTCAAGGACCCCTGGGGGCCCCCGGACCTCACTTTGAGAACCACTGCTCCAATCTAGCTGCAAGCAGATAAAAGAGCATTTCAATGGTGTTTGCTAATTTACAGTATTTATCAACAATTTTAACTTATATGAAGACATATTTCACATTATTACAGCTCTGTTTTTTTATATTGACATTTATCTGTAATTCAGCAGCCTCCACTTATTAGTTATAGTAGGAGTTATATTTGTTAATAAATACATTAATCAACACTTATATCTTCTCACAACCACATTACAGTGTGTTATAAACTAATATCAAATGTTTATATATTGCTTATATATATATTCTACATTTGGGCACATAAGTTAAAGTGTTACTAATAAATCAAATTTTGGCCATTTGAGGAGTCAAATTAACTGGTAAATGTTTTATATAAGTACTGAGATTAATGTTTGTTTCAAAAACACAACTACTGTTCAGCTAAATAAGAATACAGCATGTAAGTTAACCACTGGACATGGACTTTCATGTGTTATTGAGAGGCAGATAAAGCTAATGCAGCCCAATACGACAGCCAGGAAATAATCTCTACCTATGACGACTACAATGTTCAGTTTTTCTTTCTATTTTAGAGAGGTGTCACCTCAACTTTATAGTCATTTCTGAAGTTGTAGTTTTCTGTTGTGCTCTTGTATTGTTTTGCATCTTATATACTGGGATATATATATATATATATATATATATTAGAGAGTGGAGTAAATATATCAGAAACACCTCCCGTCATAGTGCCATGCACTTCCACAGCCTCCAAAACCACCAGAAAGTTGAATCCAAACTAGAGCTGCATCAATTAGTTAATTTATTGACAGAAAATGAATCATCAGAGTAATTTTTTAAGAAAATAATTGTCCATATTTTCTGGTCAGCAGCTTCCTCAATGTGAGGATTTGCTGCTTATTTTTTAGCTTTATATCACTGTAAACTTAATGGTAATTGCTCGCATAAAACTACATCAGACTCAGCTGTGGCCTGGACTGAACCTCTCTGAAGAAATTCACCTCAGTTTAACTGTCAAATGTGGGAGTCATGAAGGTTTTTCTACCACCCAGATGCAGTCCCTGCCCATGGAAGTGGGCAGCAGCAGCAGCAGCTCGGCTCCCGGCGACACATCTGGCTCCATGGTGCAGGTGTGCTTCCCCAGCGCTCAGGCCTCGGTGCTGGACAGCCTGAACCGGCAGAGAGAGGACGGCAGGCTCTGCGACCTCTCCATCCACGTCCAGGGACAAGTGTTTAAGGCCCACCGCTGCGTCCTGGCCGCGTCCTCACCCTACTTCCATGACCAGGTGCGAGCGGTGTGCTGTCATGTCTCTGGCTCTGAAACAAGTTGTGAATGACAGAAATCTGACGTTTTCTAATCAGTGTAAACACATACAAGCTCCTCGTAGAAAATGTGCGACTTGTATTTGAGAAGTTACGTTTGATTTTGTAGCAGCTATGACAGCTCAGCTCAGCCAGACTCAGCAAAGAGGGTATTAAGACACAATAATGAAACTCACTACAGATTCAAACAACAAGGAGAGTCAAGTTTCAAAACCAGATTCATGACATCACTGTCAGTTTATGTTGTTATTATCCATAAATCACATTAGAAATGTGCATTCATTTGTGTTTACTTTAAATACTAAAAAGGTAAAATTGGATTTTAAAAAATCAATAATAGTGTGACTCAGGTGCATAATAAGCAGCTCGGTTGTGTTTTTATCTCGATGTTTCTACAACTACAAGATCTACTTAACTTACTGTAAATTACAGCCATCAGTTTTTTATTGTGGCTAGACACAAGTTCCTGATGTGCCAGAGACAAACATCCATCCATCGCTTACCGCTGATTCTTGTAGGGTCAATCCAAGCTGACATTGGACAGGTTGGCAGACTATCACAGGGCTGACATATAGAGACAAACAACCAGTCACACTCACATTCACACCTATGAGCACTTTAGACTCGCCAATTAACATAACCTGCATGTCTTTGCACTGTGGGAGGAAGCCAGAGTACCCAGGGAGAACCCACACAGGGAGAACCCACCCAGGGAGAACCCACACAGGGAGAACCCACCCAAGGAGAACCCACCCAGGGAGAACATGCAAACTCCACACAGAAAGGCCCGAGGGCCATGAAGGCTTCGGAATTTAGAATATGGTCAAATCTTCATCCAAGTTATAATTATGAACAAACACGATCTATTTTAACTATGAACACACAGATCATTGTGTTGTTCTTGTCCATATTGAAAACATCATTGAGCATTCACAGTGCAGCTGGAAAAAGTAAGTGAACCTTTAAGATACTGACATCAACAAAAACTAACTGGAGTCCAGTCAATGCAACCAGAGTGGAGTTGTGGGTTAGAGACACTTTAACTCATAAAAACACTCAGACATTTTGAGTTTGCTGTTCACAAGAAACATCAGCTGATGTGAACCAGTGGCGGATTTACAGTAGATACTGGGCAGATACATGGGCAGCCAACTAGAGAGGCATCATGTCAGGAGGTGGCACTGGCGCTCGCATAAAAAAAAAAAAAAATTGTTACATTTCTAGGATTGGTCTTCTATCGCTCATTTGCACATCACGTCAATGACATCATGTCACCGTGCGGGTCAGAACGGGCTCCCTTTCTACTTTGTGCAGACTTCTGCTGAGAAAGTCTCTCAGAGGTGGTGGCAGATGGGGAGGGAGGGGGGTGGATGGTAGTTTGACCTCAGGTCTCCCCTCTGGAGCAGGGGAATCTATCAAGTAGCGCACTTCTATCTCTGTGCAGAACTAATGCAATTAGTAAAATCAGTCACACCAGGAAAAGCTAAAGCCAAATAAACTAGAATTCATTCATAATACTGTGAATACACACCTGTCGTTTCACACACATCAGTTTTCTGGGTTGTGTGAAATCGCATCTGCACACCACCACATGTGTGTGTCTTGTTTATATAGGTATCTATCTATCTATCTATCTATCTATCTTGTTTCTATTGTTACTTTAGGTATTTACTTTTGCTAGTCATGGTTGTATATAATTTTGGCAATTGAAAGCAAGAAAGGTCGTCAGGCTTTAGATGATAATTGTGTTTGAAGTGTGTAATACTGTAATAATTAGATTTGCATGAAGCTGAAAGGGTCACAGAGGCATCTCAAAGTGTTTAGATCTTCGTCAGTCCACAGTCACACAAACTGTCTATAGATGGAGATGATTCATTTCTGTGGCTACTCTCAGTAGAAGTGGAGGTCCAGCTGAGCAAACTCCAAAAGCACAACACTTAATGATCAGTAACGTTAACAAGGAAGCTCAGAGTAACAGCTGAAGGCTTAGAGGAATGGGTTTGGCATGAAGCGGTGATGGTTGCATGGAGCTTGGTGTCCATGGCCATGAGAGAGCTGCTTCTCCCTGGAAGTTGACTCTCCACAACACCACTGGGAGAATGTTTTGCGGACTGATGAGACTAAAGTTGAATTGTTTGGGAAGAACATGCAGCTCTATGGGCGGTGTAGAAAGTGCTCTGCACTCCAACATGAAAACATCATCCCAAAGGTGAAGCAGGGTGGAGGCAGCGTCATGATCTGGGGCTGATGTGCTGCCTCTGGACCTGGACAGCTCCACGTCATTTAGGGGGAAAATGAATTCTCAAGGCAATGACCCTAAACATTGACATGAACCTACTACAGAATGACTTCAGAAAATCCACCTTCTGGAGTCAGAGCCCAGACCCTCTGGGATCATCCTGAGAATATGTCTGAGCTGAAGCAGCTCTATAAGGAAGAATAGTCCAGCGTTCCCCCTGAACATTGAGCAGCTCTGATCAGCAGCTACTGAAGAGCTGGATTCAGGTTATTGGAGGAGGTTCAAGCAGTTATTAAATCCAAGGGTTCACTTACTTTTCACACCAGCACTGTGAATGTTTCATGGCTGTGTTCAATAAAGATACAAAAGATTATAATTGTTTGTGTGTTATTAGTCTAGAGACACTGTGTTTGTCTGCATCTATGACTTAGATGAAGATCAGATCACATTCAATGACCAAACAAAAGGGGTCACACACTTTTTCTTACCACTGTAAATTGTGTTTAAACTGATCTGCTTCTTATTATTTCTCATTATCACCCACAAGGATAAGCATGTCAGAGTAGATATGAACAATTACAGATTAATCAGATATGAGAATAAATTTAGAAATGAGAATAAAGGCCTGCAGTGTGACAGCAGCCTCGTACTTACACTTTAATTATGTGTCTGTATATTCTGTTTTTATGCTTTTTATTCCTCCACGCCGGCGGCAGCCAGAGCTGGAGGCACATCTCCAACATCTCTGTAACACCTTGAAGGAACTTCTTCAAATTTTGCACAAATGTCCAGTCGGACTAAAAGATGAACTGATTAGACTTTGGGGGTCAAAGGTCAAATGTCATGGTGACCTCAGAAAACACTTTTTAACCATAACTCTTAACTTTTTACAGCAATTCAAAATTCAAAATTCAAAATTTCACACAAATAGTTCATTTTTTTTTACACTCTGGATAAACAGAGATGTAACCTGGAAGTAGTCTGAGTGGAGGAGGCAGACAACCACCAGGAGGTGACTCTAGTTATTTTTCTGTTCCAAGTTCCTTACTCATCTTACGAAGACCAGTTTCACTAACACTTGGCGGGATGCTGTATCAGACAGATCTTTACAAACCGATAAATGTGTCCTTGTCCGTCCATCCCCAGGTACTACTGAAGAACATGTCTACAGTCTCCATCCCGGCAGTGATGGACCCGCTGGCCTTTGAGAGCGTGCTGAGCTGTGCCTACACCGGTCAGCTCCGGATGCTACGCGAGGACATCGTCAACTACCTCACGGTGGGCAGCGTCCTGCAGATGTGGCACATCGTGGACAAATGCACCGAGCTGCTGAAGGAGGGCCGAGCTGCCGCCGGAGGAGGGACGGGTGGAGGAGGCGGAGGCGTGCAGGACAGAGCCAGTGTGGGAGGGGGTGCAGGGTCAGCTAACCCCGGGTGTAGCAGCAGCAACGGTGACGGGGGGCCAGCTGGTGGGCTTGAAGCCGGGAGTGACGGTGGTGTTGGTGGAGGTCAAGCTCAGGTCGTGGGGTCCAACGAGCCCCAGCGTGCCTCCCAACCTCCCAGCCGCCCGTCAGTGAGCGAGAGCCAGTCTCCCAGCAGCACCAACTACTTCAGCCCCAGGGACGGGAGCAGCTTTGGGGGAGGCAGTGCAGCCGCAGCCGGGGCTTCGGTGGACGGAGGCGGGGCTAGCAACACGCCCAGCTACTGCACGCCATCGGGAGGGGAGGAGGCCTTTCTCATCGAGGAAGAGGAGGATGAAGTAGAGGAGGAAGAGGAGGAGGTGTTGTACCACCAAAGGAAGAGGGGAAGAGGAGGAGGCAGCGGAAGGAGGAAGAAAGCAAGCTCAGTGTCAGAGCAGGAAGTCGGAGTCAGCGACAGCTTTGGTGTGTCGTCCTATCAGGTGAGAGTGCAGACGTGAGGGTCTCATAATGTGAGCAACTGACACTAATGCACCTTTAAATATAAAAAGCTTTTACTTTAATTAATTAATTATTTATTTTTTGCCACAATATTTTTATTTAAATTTTAACATCCTGAAATGCTTCAGCATATAACAGCTGCTTTCAGTCTGAACATAGGGTGGGAAAAAAATAAAAGTATAGAAAACAAATGGCTATCTGTACAAAATGGGATATATTAATTATAATGATATAAAGTATAACAAGTGATTAGAAGAAGAGAGAAAGAATAAATAAATAACTACAGAGACTGCATTGCTCCCAGAAATTAGTCACTCACTTGATAATCTGTTCAATCAAATCCTTAACAAAAAACAATAAAACAAATTTTATTTAGAAATTTATTTTGAAGTTATATTTAATCAAAATTGATTTTTGTCTGTCAATAATTGGTTTTCAGATTTCTTCAGTTCCACAGTCATGAAGTAACTTTTAAAGAGGAAACTATTTTAGTTTTTGTTTTGTTTTCTCATTGGCCATAAACATCCTGCAGATCTTATGTCAAAGGAGAAATTATATATTAGTTAGAGGTCACTCCTTATTTTCAAATATTACAAAATCATGGTTGGGGATAAATAATGATTTTTACATTATTCATCCCCAACCATGATTTTGTAATATTTGAAAATTGTTGTAATAACATCAAAATATTGTAAATAAGAAGTGACCTCTGACTAATATTTAATTTCTCCTTATATTGTAACTGTATTCACGTGCAAAATTACCTGAAGAAGGCAAAAGCTCTGTTTAAACACGAGGAAGATTCTGTTTCCGGAAAATCCAAAATCTATTCCCTCATCATTTAGAGTGTTTTAACACAGCTTTGGTCTTCTGGTCAGGTTGGTTTTATTCAGCACTTTTGAAACACTAAACAAAGCGTTTGATACAGCAAAGACCTGATATCTCATAATAAGCGTTTTATAATGTGAAATATCTCAATCTGAAGGATGGGGAGGACTCAGCGCTGCCGCCGCAGAAGCGTCCCACCTACAGCCAGCCCAGCATCATGCCTCGTAAACAGTGGGTGGTGGTGAAAACCGAACGCACGGAGGACGACGACCTCATCGTGGTGTCCGGGGAGGAGGGAGGGGAGGACGAGGAGGACGAGGACGAGAGGGAGGCGGAGCTGGCCAGAGAGAGGGAGAGAAGCGACTTCAACATCTCCAACGTCAGGAGCCTTTCAGCCGAGCTGGGAAGCAGAGCTGAGAACGACATGGACTCACAGGTCAGCTGACGGTCGCTTTTGCAGAAATTTTTGTAATTCTGATAGCAGAAGTTTTTGAGTATAAATTGAGTCACACCTGGTGAAAACTAGTACAGTGTCTTTTTTTATACAACCACAAGAGAGCGCCAAAGGTGCTGATTTTCAACAATGCTCAAACTGCAGCAGCTTCTTTCTCCGGGTGAAACAGAAATACATCATTCAGCCGAACCTGAGTGATGTGCAGAGATATTTAAATTCAGGAACTTTTCTATTTGCATGCATAAGAGACACCTGCTGCACTGCTGAGTGCAGAGCAGTGGTTCCCAACCTTTTCCAACTCAGGGCCCCATCTCAAAAATGTTGGCAGCCCACATACGACCCTAAAACAAAGCAGAGGCAAAATAATGCCAGATTGCAAAGATCATTTTGTTTTTAAACATTTAAAAACATTAATTATATATATATTTTTTATTCACATCTTTTCACTAAAATTGTACTGTCATGCAAATGATTTGTCGTCCCACTTGCAATACCTTCGCGGCCCACAAGTTGGGAAATGGTGGGGTAGAGAATGGTGTAAAGTGTCCTGATGCTGCAGGTTTGTGTGGTTTGCCTTCATCACTGAGCTTCATCTAAAGTTCCCTCTCTCTGTCTGTCTCCAGATGGACTACTGCCAGTCTTCAGAAGACTACCTCAAGTTTGAAGGCAGTTTAATGGACCAGACGTTAGCGCAGCACCTTCATGACAGCGCTGCAGGTCAGAGCCAGAGCGCTAACCGTGCTGTGTCAGCGCTGCTGGGCCAGGTTCAGTCCGCAGCCACGGCCCGGGCCCAGCTCTTCCCCCTGGACATGCAGGGGAACCAGATCCTCCTCTACAGCCAGGCGTCCGGACTCTCTCTGGACGCTGCCGCCCCCCCGCTGGGGATGGCAGGTGGCATGATCGGAGCAGCCTCTTTCAAAGGTCCCGGTCTGGAGCACGGCGCGGTCCACCTGTCGGTGCAGGGCGGTTTGGGAGTCGATGGCATGGACAGCGGGGGGATCGGAGGTGGAGGCGGCAGCGGCGGCAGCAACAGCGGCACCGGGGGTTCAGGGAAAGTGTTTATGTGTCACTGTGGTAAAACCTTCACCCACAAGAGCATGAGGGACCGCCACATTAACATGCACCTGGACCTGAGGCCGTTCCACTGCCCTGTCTGCGCCAAGAAGTTCAAGATGAAGCATCATCTCACAGAGCACATGAAGACGCACACGGGCCTCAAGCCGTACGACTGCCTCGGCTGCGGCAAGAAGTTCATGTGGCGCGACAGCTTCATGAGGCACCGCTCGCACTGCGAGAGGCGCAGCGGGCTGGGGGAGAGCGGGGAGGGTGGGAGCAGCGGCGAGGGAGGGAGACGAGGGGGAGGTGAGGATGGGCCAGATTTGATTTCCTCCCCTCACCTCCTCTTGTCTGCGGGTGAGGGAGGTCAGGGTAATATGATGGGAGGAGGAGGGAGAGGGGGAGTGTCTGTTTCCTCTCCGCATCTTTCCGGTGCCGTTCTGTCGCCGCAGCACGGCGGCGTCTCAGCCACAGGAAGTAGCAGCAGCAACAACAGTGCGAGCAACAACATGGCCGCCGCTGGAGCGCACCTAGGGGTCGTCTCTCAGAGTCCAGGTCAGGGTCAGGGATCTGGGATGTTTGGTCTAGGGTTAGGTCGAAGTGTGTGTGACGAAGACGTGTGTGAAGTCAGTGCCAATGAGAGCAGCGTGACTTAAACCAAAATTGTGTGTCATGTCCAACGGGCGCCTCTCGGTGAGGTAACAGTCGACTTCCTGGTTCCCGCGCGGTGCTCCTCTGAAACACTTTGAACTGCCGTCACTCGGCGTCTGAAGCAGGAAGTGCGTAAACAGGCGAGGCTCCCGTTGGACACACAACCTGGAGAACCTGAAGGTGTTTACAGAAAAACGGGACTTTGAGATTCCAGTCAAGTCTTTGTGAAGTTTCTCAAACAGACTTGTGGTTGTGCTGGTGCCATCTGAAGTTGTCTGCAGTTCTTGTTCCGCGACGACTTCAGACAACTTTGCCTCCGAAAAAGTGGCCTCATGAAAAATGGACCTTTTGTCTCAGTGAGTAAGCTATCGTTTTAAATATCCAAGATGTTTATTTTTGTTGGTTCGGTGGAAGAATGTGTGCGTGTCGAGAGGAAACCAAAAATGTAAAGACAGTGCTTCACTAACTGTGGCAACATTATAGTATCAGTAGAGTAGAAAAATGGCTGTTCTAAATTGCTGTGATTTTCTGCAGTATCGTATTGATTGTGATTTGTTGCTGTAATCAGTTAAAAAAAAAAAAAAAAAGCTGCGAGAGAAGATGAAAATGAAAGAAACGATGAGATTCACGTTGCGTCTTTCGGAAATAGGCACAAGGATTTTAACAGATTTCGAAGCGTCAGGGAGGAATCATGAAGCTCACTCAGACGACTCAGTCAAACTCAAACGTTGCAGATGTGTGTGTGTGTGTGTGTGTGTGTGTGTGTGTGTGTGTGTGTGTGTGTGTGTTTTTTTTTTAAGTTTTCTCACAGCAGCAGCGATACATCTTCCCCTGCCTCAGTGCCCCACGTAACGAGCCGTCAGCACTGCCATGTTGTTTTAGACGATAGTTCGGCGCTGCTTGGATCACAGTAACGGCACAATGATTAATCGTCATCACAAGGGAAGCCTGGTAGATCCCCGACACGTGTACAGGGAAGGATATCCGCCAGACAGGAACCGTGTCTGTCTCTCGGCTGCTCACTCATTCGCCGGTTTTGCTGCTGTTACCTGCTTTCACTTTCTTACGTTATCGTTCACAGAGTTCTCGTGCTTTGAGGAGTATATATTATTCTTACTGTAAATACATAGAGATATACTGTAGGTCATCAGACCAGGAACAAATACTGACTTTAAATACTGATGCAGTCGCTGCCGTCTGAAGGAGTTCATGAGTTTGAAAGTTTCCCAGAACTGATCTTAACCCACGATGCACCTCTTCAAGAGGAGTGTCAGGGAGGTTGTGGGAAACCTGGTGATGGTAGATGGTTTTCTTATCTAAGCTATACAGAGTATAGTGTGTATACCTCCTCTGAATGGTAATTCAAGTCATGGACCCGATTGAAAAGAAGTAGCTGTTATTCACACAAACAAGTCACATGTTAGTTTTATTCTTTTTTACTGGACAGCGTTTTGTTACGTTTCATTTTCTTCTTTGTGTGGATTTTACTCGTCTTTAGATTCTAATGTTTTCCACTGGTGACGTTTTTCTTCCTGCAATAATTTTAGAAGCACGACTGAGTGACGGCGGTCCTGACCTCCCAGAAGCTTTTCAGTGTGGAGACACATTCAGTCTGTTTATCGGTGAAAGAGCGAAGCAGTGTTTCCTCTCTGTTCATATTTATCAGCAGTGGTTGTGGTTTCGGTCTCACGCCGGCCCTTGTTTTGGATGTGAAGGTGGTCGTGGTCCTGGTGGTTTGAAACAGAAGATAACGACGGGCTTGGTCTAAATACAGGTTTTCTTGCAAGTCCAGGTTGATAGATTGAGATTTTACTTTTGGAACTACCGGAAAAAAAAACTTTTATTCCTTGAAAAAAAACAAAAGTAAAAAACCGGACTCGTCAAACATCCTGAATATTACAATTTATAAATATCGTGAAACAGTGGTTAATTATTGTTGAGCCACTAACTGACTGTTGATGGACAGAAAGTTATTCAATGACAGTTTTGATGCTCTACAAATTAAATTGTGTAAATTTATGTAAATCTTTATTATTGATTATTTGACCGATCACAGAAAATAATATTCAAACAATATCGATGATGAATGAATGATCAGGGAAAGGGTAAGCTTAGGTTACTTTGCACTTTAGCTTTGCAGTGAGGCACATTTAAGGTGTCTATCTTCCAAACAGTATACAACCTGATCAAAATGAATGAATCAATAAAATAATCATTAAGTGAAACCCTGGTAATAGCAGCCATGTTTTACCACTGCTGAATAAATATTTGGGGACGGACTGCGGACACTGTTAGTGCCGATGTACTTGTGGGAGTTCAGGGGCTTGAAGTTCATCTTTGTTTAGTCACAATGAAACAAGATGTTAAACCTCAGAGAAACGTGACCTCATAGTTTCAAACATCATGTTCATGAGTTCTGTGCTGTATCTACATATACTGGGACTAGTTCTAACATAATATCAGGTCTGTGTGATGCATTTAGGGACCATACTGATCATGGACTGGTACAACTACTGAAAAGACACACTGACAGGGGTGATACACTACAGTTTCAATACTTTGCTGCCTTTGTTTTTCCATGAAAACACAGAATTGGTTTTGTTTGTGCACGATGTCGTGTTCGTCATCTCGTGTGTGTCGACGTGTTTGAGAGCGTGTTATTGCCAAATAGGTTCAGGTGCCTTCACCAGCACGTTGACCTGCTCATTCTCCACCTGCCTCTGTTTCTGTTCATCTTACAGCGGAAACAAAACATTCTTACAGTTCTTATACCAATCCGAAACAAACAGATTTTCTTGTGTTGTGACACCTTAAACAGTTAAACCATTATTATGTATTAGTGCACAAGTCGTATGTTAAACTGCAGGTTACCGTAACAAAAAAAAAACTGATGCTAAAAACACTTATTAAAGTTTAAACGTAGCCTGTCTTCTTCTTTATTTCTTGTTTTTGTTTCTGTCCTGATACAGAAAGTTACAGACTCATTAGAGAACTCATTGTTCACTTCCACCCAGTTGTAAAATGATCTCAACGAGATAAGATCCTCCACAAGGGGGCGCTCTTCAGTCAGGGTTAGCTATGCGCTCCTCCGTTTAGATATGTCTCTAGCACCGTCAGTTTATGTGAGATTTTTTTGCATCAGGAGACGACATTGTTCGTTAATGTTGACTTAAATCCTTAGAACATTAGTTTTAACAACGTGCTGTTCATCACACTTCACTTCAAGGGCCAGTGTGCAGGATTCAGGTGGATCCATCTATGATAAGGATTTGTTTTCACTAGTGTATAATCACCTGAAACTAAGAGTCGTTGTGTTATCTTAAGCTTAGAATAAGCCCTTCATTATCTGTATAGAGAGCAGGTTTCTACAGTAGCCCAGAGTGGACAAACCAAACACTGGGGGTGTTTTGTGTTTTTATGTCGCTTGAAGGCCACCGTAGCTTCTCCTACACGCTTGCAAAGGGAGGGGTGAGGGGAGAGGGGTACTCACTTGGTTGCAATCTGCAAACTCACCACTAGATGGCACTAAATCCTCCACACTGGTCCTTTAAATGTAAAACTTGATCCATTCACGTAATTCAATAGAATACAGTGAAATTCAAGAAAAACATGGTTTTATATAAGAGAAAAATATATTGTTATGTGTGATAAAGTAAATCCTTTTTTTTTTTTTCTGATCAGTATTTGCTCTCAAAGATGTGCGCCCCCTGTGGTCACAGCTGGTACTGTTATTAAGAGATTATGATCATATAAACCTGCAGCAGTGTGATGATAATGTGTTTATGAAGATTTGTAGTTATTGTTTCCGTTTTATATTTTTAACCTTTTAACCAAGTCAACTGTAGAAAATCCGTCAGTGTGCCTGTGTAGCTACAGCACAGGACAGTCATCACACCTGACCTCTTTAACCTTTGGTTTCCTGTAGAGATGTTTCACAGTCACAGTGAGATGCAGCAGAGCGACGCAGGGCCTGAATGTTTTACCTTCTGTGAAGGCGGCAGGTTCGGATATTTTTATATGCGGGTTTGGAGCTCGGTCTGAGTGAAAGGACTGTTGGCTTCTCTTCGTGCTCAGTGATCTGTGAAGTGTGACCTCCAGTGTTTCCTCTCTGACTCCGCTTGGGTTGGTGTTTGTGGGTAATTTTGCTTTCACATCTGTTCCTGTTTGTTTGCTTCACTGCTGAACTACAGAGGAAACACTGGAGGTTTATAAAGAGCAGAATGTGTGAGACAGGTGTCTAATGCTTTTCTTAGGTGTGGAGTAAAGTGTGCCGAAACTAAAGCTTTTAAACATGTATATGGAGAACTGTCACTGAGGGTGAATGTACATTTATCTCTATGTTTATACTCATCAACAAGAACTCATGAGGAGACAGACGGGTGTGTGTTCAGTGAAGCTCAGTCTGAAATGTGTGAATTCTCTTCCAGAGTCTTAGTGTGAGGACAGAATAATTTCTCCTTTTACATCCAGTGACTGAAGGAAGTAGAACTGGTCAATCAGACACTTATGTCAGATTTAACCTTCTTGTGCAAACTGCCCCGGGGGCATCTCAGTTCTCTTTGTGGCCCAAAGTAGAGTTTGATTTTTCATTTTCAGTTACAGTAACTTTATAATATGCAACTGCAAGAATTACAAGTTTATTACAATTATTTACGTAACCTCAACACCTGTTCTGTGCTGTTAATCTCATGTAAAATGCAAATAGAAAAACTACAAATCCCAAATCCCTGAATTTGTTATAGTTCCTCCCAAATTAGTGATTTGTTAAGATTTAAAAATTTGGTCTTCAGCCTCCTGACATTAAAATGTCTAAATCAGGAAGTAGATCTCGTCTTATATTTAATTTATGACACAAAATAAACAATATAAATCAAAAACCAAAGAGAGTTCACATTAGTATGAGTTTAAGGGCCGTAACCAGGCTCCTTGCTCTGACTCCAGGCTGTACACGTCTCATTCTGAATAAATGAGAATAATGTGTTTTTGTAATTTATTTGTTCTGTCTCCAGCAGCTCTGCAGCGTCACCAACACACTAACCTGTTTCTGACAATTAAAACCTGTTGTCTTTAGCACTGCGTCTTACTTCAGTGAGTGATAGAGGAGCTCCACATTAAGAGAGAGATGAAGAGGGAGGGATCAGCCTGAGGAACTCAAAGCTCAAAGCTGCTGCTGAAAACTAGACGGAGGTATTTTTATTATTTTTATACATTACATGTCTTCTGATTGACCAGTTGATTGTTGAACAGAAAACGACAGTTGTCAATGGACATTTTTATGTAAATCCTGAGTGGTACTAATAATGTAAGAAACTACATCAATATTCACCTCTGCCCTGTATCAGAAATAATGGATTAATAAATTATTTGGTGCAAATAACTGTCTGTTTTTGATCTCTTTTCAAGTCTCAAAACATATAAACATAAATACCCTGATGTTGAACATCTGTATACTGTATTAAATTTTATTATTTTACGCCGGCTACAGTAAGAGCCGGAGCCATATTGTTTTCAGGTTGTCTGTCCCTCCATCCCATTCTCATGGACACGATATCTCAGTAAGGCCTTGATGGAAATTTGACACAAAGTTTCACCAGGACTCAAGGATGAACTAATGAGATTTTGAGGGTCAAAGGTCAAGGTCAGTTACCTCACAAAACGCATTTTTGGCCATAATTCATTCACTAATTCTGACACAATTAAACTCAAATGTCCATAAGGATAAAATGAAGTGATGACATTTTATATCCAAAAGGTCAAAGGTCAACTTCACTGTGACATCATATGTGACATATTTCCTGTCACTTGACTGGTTGGTGGAGGGATACAACCACAAGGTTATTGCAGTTTTATTTTTTTCTTTAAATTATTTGTTTATTTATTTTATATCATTTTATTCATTGTTTTTCTTTAATAATTTCTGTCTTAACTCCCTTCTTCCTTTTATATTTGTCAAAGCACCTTCTGTTGCATCCTGTGTATGAAAAGTGCTATACAAAAAGTTTTATTATACATTTAGTCCGAGAACAGCAACACAGAGGCCGCACATAACAAAATGTATCATTTATTTTATCAAAACTGAAAAAGAAAAAAATTCACAGTGAATGATGGATCACTCCTCTGCATAAATGAGGCCTGACAGGACGTGGCTACGATCACTACATTCCAGGTCTACATTCTAGTAACTCTGAAAAGAGCGTTTACCCCAAAATATCACTTCACCTGTGACTATATTTAATAAACGAGCGGAAAAAACAAAAATGAGGATTGTTAAAGGATTAAAACAAAAAAAAGTTCCATCACCATCCTAGCGCTTTGTTTCATGAGGACCAGTCAGACAGCTCAGTCTGAATAATGAATGTGATGCACACTGGCCACAAAAAAAAGGTTCATTATTAAATTCTGGAGCTCTGAAGTGCAACACTGCATATAACAACAAATAGAAAAATGGAAGCAAACTTTATTCTAAATATGGCAGGGACGTCAAAATTTCAACTTTAATGGTTTAAATGTATCTGAATACCCGGTGAAAATTAAACATGAACAAACAAAACTGAAAAATAAAGATAAGTTGTAGGAAAGTGAATCATAGTGTGACAGAATAAAGCTGGGTTTCATTCTTTAAAAATTTCATTCACATTTTTACCTTTAAAGTCATTTCTCTTAACGGATCCTTTGTTTGGATTTGGTGGTGAATGGATGTAGTTGTCTGGGCCGGGCGGAGCTCATCAGTGTCACGGTGAGACTCATCTGAGATGCATTAAAGGAGATACTTGACTTGTTTTACTTTGAGATGAGTCAGTTTAAAGATGAGCCTTGGCAGTATTCTGTATTTTCCTTCCTGTCAACAAACCTCTGAGCTCACTGTTCCTACTGCAGACATACATCTTTAAATATTAGTCACAAATACAGTTTTATTTTTTACAAAAAAAAAAAAAAAAACCTAAAACAGTTTTTTTTTTTTTTTTAACAAAAAGGACTATTTTCAGTGGCTGATTAATCCACATTTGGTGCTCTAGTGAGTATTTGGGGGCACCAGAACGATGTATGTGGAACAAGTGAAATTACCACTGTGTGTTTTCATGGTAGTAAAGGACCAGTGCAACATTGTGGCTCATGGATGTGCTTTTAAAGGGTTTTGGACTCTATGGCTCAGAGGAATAAGATTTAACAGGGTTTGGAAACAGAGTTGAGTCAATTCAATAGTTTTTTTTGTGAGATTTGTTGAAAGGAAGAAGAATATAAAATATTGGCCTCATCCTTCAAACATTCAAACCAACAGCTCAGCCACATGTCTGAATGAAGAAAGCCATTTTGTTTATTTTAAACCTAAAAGTAGCAACATGTTTGAAGGGGAAACATAATTAAAAAATGTCACTGTTCTCCATTATCACTGCTGCGGTCCACACAGTACAAGCCGCCACATATCCCACTCACTCAAAACATCATAAATATCAACAGCAAGTAAAACAATGTCATCTCAAAATTCCTCTTAAACAGACGCCGCCTCCCTCTCCTCCATGGAAAAAATACCATTGAAATATAAAAATGTAAACAAACCGGCGGTGAGCTGTTGCAGCCCCCACCAGTCGAGTGTCTGTGAAAACAACCCCCCCCCCCTGTCTGGGTCAAATGTCCGACTGCACAGTTCATGTTTTCAGGCACTGGTTTCTTACCTAAAGCACACTAACTAAAGTTCAGGGTTCAAGTCAAGGGACAGTCTTCCCGAAGGAAGTGATTTTAGCTCTGTGTTCAGAGCAGAAGAAAAAAAAAAAACAAAAACTCATTTCAATGCTGCCACCAACTGGTACCACAGAGGTGTTAGAAGTGTTGCACTGAGAGGCGGGAAACACGAGTTTGACTGCATGCATCATCCAAAAGATTCAGATGACGTCTCTGCTGCCGAGACAGCCGAGGTCGACACCAGCTGATGTTTCACACAGAAAATGAAAACTGTATTCTCTGGTGCACGCACAAGCACCACCAGCAGCAGCAGCAGCAGCAGCAGCAGCAGCAGAAGAAGAAGAAGAAGAGGCCGTTTCCCAGAACTTTGGTTCTTCCCAAAAAACACGTCCTGTTCACGTTGGCGTTCCTGTAAATGTTAGGTTTAAATTATTTCATTTATAAAAACATATTTCTTGGCTTTTGTTTGGTAATCAACTGACATGAGATACTAGATTCAGAGTTCTCCCCGTCTTCCACAGATTTCAGTGGCTGTTGTGCATTTTGTAAAAACAACTTGTTTCTGACCGTTTCCATCTCATTTTTAAATCGGCACTTTCACTTTCCCTCCTCTTACGCGCCAACAGACGAGGACGGAAAACGCTGGAAAAAAAGGTCGATTCAGGAGGTCAGTACCAAGATACAGGTGAGCAGTGGAAGATTCCCCCAGTGGGAGGTCAGAGGTGAAAGGTCATTCTGAGTCTGACAAGACGATGATCTCATCCGGGTCGCACTGGGTCGCCACGTTGACCTGGAAACCCAAACAGTGGCACAGTTAGGAAACGCTCGCCCAACAAATGACAATTTATCACCAATTATATTGAATATTAAACAGATGGAAACTGGATGAAAAATCTGATTCAACGTTTACGAGGATAATGTTGATGATTTTAATGATTTGAGGGAGTCAGGAGCAGCATCAGCTGGTTAGCATTTAAATCCTCTGAAGAGCTAGAAACTCCAGGAACACATGGAGCATAAGGAAGAATTTTATTTTAAGACCAACATGTTTCTGCTTGTGGCCTTCATCACTTTCCCGTCCTGGAAGAATCTTCTGAGCTGTTCCTGCTGTAAGACGAGCTTGTTTACTGTAAACTGATAACTCGAAGATCAACTTGTAGCAGGAGACACAGTTTTTTTTTCCTCCTCTTTGCAGATTTTTTTTTAACCAAAAGATATACAGTACATTTTTCAAACAATTATTGATTGACATAGATATAATATGAAAATGTACCTGAGGAAAATTACAATGAATAATATAGTTTATGTGCATTGTAAAACTAAGAGTGAGCTAGGGATGCCGATTGATGCCGCCGATCATTATTGGTGGATTTTCATTAACAATACGTGATAGGCAGATCAGCATTAATGCTGCTAGCCAACGATCAGCTGTGGTTAATACTCTGGTGTCTGCCTGCGGCTGAGAGAAGCACTGTGTGCTGGGTAGTGTAGTCCCACCTCCCACCCTGTTCACTGAGCCGGCGTGCGACGGGCCACTAAACAAAACAACATGTCGGCTGTGTGGAACTTTTACAAAGTGCGTGAGACTGATACAGCATCTGAAATGCATGACAAAGATGATCGGTATCGGCCGATCTCACTCACTGATGATCTGTATCGGCGGGAAAAAATGTGATCGTGGCATCCTTAGACCGAACGCTACTGAACCTCCGTCACGCTCACAGATTTTCTATGATAACCTGATACTTAATGTATCTTTCTTTACAAAGTAGATAATAAAACTGCATCATAATCCATGATATCCACTGACTCAAAGTTACTCTATTATGTTTTTTATGAATGACAAATTGAGTGTTTTTACATGGACATGAGAATCCCAGTCTTGACAAACCCATTCAAGCTAGTTGAAGTACTCAGGACACTGTAGCCTGTACACATCTTATCCAGGTTCCTGACGACTACCTGCACAGTCACAATACCCTTTCATACAGAGATCCCACTGTACAGAGGAGCCGTCATTATGCCGCCTTCGCTTATTTACACTGAAACAAACTATCCGGCCTTCTGCCGCCTCAGTGTTTGATTTTAAACATGTTTATACCTTTTATACCAGTATTTACCCAGTATACAGGGATATACCTTGTTTTTCTTGGGAGGCGGCGTTGACTGCGAGCTGCTGACCAGGTCCTGGGTGGGAGTGTCTGCTCGGCTGGACTCGGCCTGATGTGGAGAGTTGCAGCTGAAAACGCCCATGTCCAGAGGGATCTCTACCTCACTGAGGAGAGGAGCAGCAGGAGCAGGGATGGGGAGTTTATTGTCAAGCAAACATGAGTGTGTTTGGTAGTTCACCGATGGAATAAATCTGAAGTTAAAATTTGCCATCATCATTTTATTATCTGATCTTTTAATACAAGACTAGGCTAAATCCTGAATTAATTCAAACTATATCTGAGCAAGTTTGAGTTCATCCTGTTTAAAAGACAAACAGGTTTATTTCCTCCCATCAGGAAACCAGACCTGTGCTTTCTGATTCTGCAACAGCTGCATCAAATTCTTGTTTCCTGATTTCCTCCATTCTACAGCATCATATCCAGGTTAATGTTGTAATATATAAGTCTCATTTTAACAGTTCCTACAATATAAAAATCCCTAATACTCATAAGCTCCTGTTTAATGTTTCTTGTTGTGTCAAACATTTGAAACTCAAAATGTTTCAAACCAATCCACCAATAAAAAGAGAAATAAATGAACATTCACCTGTGTAACTAACACTACCATCACGATGTCTAACAGATATATAATCTGACGGATTAGACTGAACGAAGCCTCACAGTACCTGTCCTGGGTGATTGCGTGCTTCACATTTTGGGAGTTCTCTGATGTTTTCTCCTCCCTCTTCCTCTTGCGGCTCCTCGTAGCTTTGGGGCTCGGCGGTGGCGACGTGCCAGTGGTGGTCTGAGTGTCACATTTTTTTAAGATCACTGCTGGTGGCAGGGGTAACGACACCCCATTGGTTGAGGCTGGGGAGACGTCTCCAGGGTCCTTGGTGGTGCTTACCAACACCAATGACACATGATTGGAGGAATCCACAGGCTCCTCTGACCCTGCAAGGTCACCATTAGACAACGGCCTGTCGTCATCAGTCTGCATGGGCTCCGATTGGCTGGGGCTGTCTCTCGGGGAGGGGATGTCCGACAGAGAGATTTGGGACTTGCTGTCATCAGAAAGAGGACTGATTCCACTTGTGACTGGCTCTTCTTCCTCATCTTTAACGCTTCCCAACATCTCGTCTGTCTGATCCTCCTTGTTGGCGCCATCCACCGTTTGCTCCGCCTCGTTACCGTTCTCTTCCCCGTTCTCTTCCCCGTTCTCATCATCGTCTACAGAAAAAGGAAAATTAAAGCGATGAAGTCATGTCTCGCTGTGTCTGATCAGTCATTGAACATCAACCTTTAAACTGACTTTAAATGGATGCAGTGTACTGGGTAAAACACGTCCAGCTGGTAATCATCTACAGCCCTGCGTCTTGAGTTTTAAACATCAGCACCCGACTGTGACCGACTGGGCTCTTTGTTCATCTTTATAAAAAATGCGGGATGTTTCTTTTTTTTCTCTCCAACACTGTGAAATACTACTCTGATTAATTACTGTGAACATTACATGAGATAAATCAACGACCTGCTGAGCCGCGTCAGACAGATCCTGAATGATCATCTTGTGATCATTGTCGTTACTACGTGACGGTTTCGGCGGCTGCCTCTCTTGTTAAATGTGTGGCCTCTGCTGTGTGATGTAACAGCTCTCCAATATACACACACCATCTTTATTGTTACTTCACGTGGAGGTTTGAGCTTTACAGTCCAACATTACGTCTGCACAGAGTTTGACACATGACGACTCTTCAGATTCGTCTGCTGAAGGCGGGAAGTATTCTCTGTGCTATTTCAGTCACTGTTTCAAGCTTGTTGAACATGTGAATGAGAACAGTTTTATTGTGAATTCAGCTGCATTAAAAATACTGAATATGTGAGCGCAGAGAGGAGGAGAGAAGCAAACATAAAACCGACTGACACCAGGCGGGATGTAAATACGACGCGATGATGTCACAATGTCTCATTACTGCATTACATCATTGAGCGGCTTTTCTGGCAGGTTCCGTTCAAAGACGTTTACAGCAGCCCCACAACGGTTTTCAACAGTGACATCACTTCATCACCGACTGTGCGTGGCTTCAGTCATATACTCGGGTTTGACCTAGTCTTGTTCAGCAGCGGCAGGAAAACCAGCGTCGGATTTTTCATTAAAACTTTTGAATTTTCAAAATAAGAAAAAAAAAAGTGTGAATTAACATCTGTGCTCTGACCTGGTCCACCCTGCTGCGTGCTGGCCTGGATCTCCTCCTCTATGTCTGGATCTGATGATTCATCTTCTTCTTCATCATCATCTTCCTCCTCCTCCTCCTCCTCTTCCGCCTCAATTTCTTCATCCTCCTCTGCCACTCCATTCACCTCTTTCGTTCTTTCTTCCTTTTCAGATTTGTTGCCCTGAAAACAAGATGTGTGAGCGTCAGTCAGGACCAGATGACGGTAGAGGGGAGGGAGGAAAAAAAACAAACAGGAACTAAATAAAACTAAAAAAAGAAATGTAGTGTTGGTCCCATAAATTAAAATCAAAACAAAGTTAAAACAAAGTTATGCAACGTTTCAATTTCCCGTTTTCGAGGATGGACCTGAACGCCTCAAAGCTTTTTTTTTGGTTTATATTATTATTACTATTGTTACATATGCATTACTACTCATTACCATGCATTCTAAATAGCCAATAAAATATGAGATAATCATCCAGGTTTTTCATTATATTTCAACATGAATTAAGAACTTTTATTCCTCGTCAATGAAGCAGCACTAGTATCCAGAACAATCCTACTGTTCTCCCACCCCATCAGCAGTGACTTTGTTGTTGCTGCTCAGAGAAAGGCACTAGTGTTTTATAAGTTTTACGCCTGATCATTTTCCCCCTTTCCCAGATGTCGTCATACCTCTTTCTTCTTGCCGTCTTTCTCCAGTCGTTTGCTCCTCTCCTGCTCCTCTGTGTCCTCTTGTTTCACAGCGTACTTGGTGATGACCTCCTCCAGGCGGGTTAGAGCCACTTCTCTGTTCGTCCGCAGCTTCCTCTGCAGTGAGGGGTCTGACAGAGCTGGGTCTTGTGCTTTACAGGGTGACGGTGGAAAGAGGAGAGAGACAAGAGCAAGTGTGTCAACAGTGTTGGGAATGAAGGGATCGAGGGCGACAGAGAGAGAAAGAAAGTCGACAGAATGAAAAACAAAAAACTTTCCATGTACCAGTGGTGCCTGCAGTAGGCTTTCAGCAAGTAACATCACTACATTTTAGAGTTTAACAGGTACATGCTACGTAGCTTTTGAGCCTTCTAAATAGAGCCCGACTGATATTACATTTTTGGCCGATGCTGATATTAGGGAGTTAAAAAAAAATAAAAAAAATATATATATATATGTATGCATATACACATTTCACTTGAATGAAAACAAAGGATCAAATATTCATAAAATGCTGCCTATATAACTTGACCCGAGCATTTCCACTGCATTATTGCTTCTTAATAAAAGTATTCATATCAGCGCACATCGGAGAATATATGCGCTGCTACTGATATATCTGTGATAGGTCAATATGGGCCGATAAAATCGGTCGGGCTCTACACTGTGCACAAAGCCTCACCAGGTCTGTAGTGGTCGGTGAGATGCGAACCAAAGTTGTACACGAGGTCCAGGTGACGTCTATTCTGGATGCAGCTCCCGGTCTCTCTGAAGGCGTCCTGGGCCATCTGCCTCAGCTGCTTTCTGCTCAAGCACAGGTTGTGGCGTTCGTTGGCGCGCAGCACCTGCTGGAGGATGTCTTGGTAATCCGGAGGGTTCCTCTGTGCCTCGGGACTGTTTATGAAACGCTCGATCTGATATGAGGGGAGAAAAAAAAGAAAGTACTATCAAGTGTAACCACAGTCCATACCCCAACCCTGACATGTGATGCACACATACTGTGCATCTTTGGTTTGTTTTGTCCTGTAACTTTGCTTCTGCAGAATGTTTTTTTGTTTTGTTTTGTTTTAGAGAAATAAACTACTACGACTGATTGTACTAGGACGTCCCAGTCCTCCATCACTGGGCATCTGCTGATTCTGAGTCAGATCCAACACATTGGATTTTTAGGTATCTTATATTTACTTAAATGTTTTGTAGCTGACACTTTGAAATAACAGCTGTTGACTGCTGAGTTTGGCACACCTTGTTTTTCACTTGAAAATTTTACATTTAAGATCCAATCTGTCAGATGGTCAGGTGTTATTTCCTGTTTTCTGGAGAGTCCGCCCATGTAAAAATCAATACTCTGATGAGCTCAAAATATGCGAGAGGGTCAGAGGTCATTACTAATGTATACGATTAAATAACACAGTTTCTTGTTTTCCAGGACGCTTAAAAATGTGTTTAAACCAACAAAACGCCAGCTCACCCTTCTGTTGATCTCAGGATACCGAGTGCTTTTGTAGGGGATCCTCTGCTCAATGACTCGGCCCGTCAGTGTGCCGCAGTCCTTCAGCTCACACAGCTTTTCATAAATTTTCATCATCTGGAAGAGAAGAAAGGGTGAGAGCAAAGTCCGACTAGCTGTCACATCACCTATTTTTTTTTTTTCATAGCTTTAATTTGTAACTGAAGCGCCGTTCATCCAACGCCACCTCAAACCCCCGTCTGACCTTGCGTTTGAGCTTGTGCTCCTGGATGTATAAAGAGTCCTCAGCTCCCAGGTCGTCTAAACTCAGCTCAGTCTGCTGCAGGCGGCAGATCTCATCGTTGTACACCTTCAGGAGGTTCTCCAGGTACGCTATCTGAGAGGAATGGAGAACAGACTGAGACTTCTGATCACAGGTTTGAGTTGTCTGTGTTTATTTCCACAAGTCGTATCTCGAGGATGAAAGGAAAACGAAGGGAGCAGAAAAAAAAAAACACTTGTGTTTCAGTGTGTATGGAGACATGAAACACATTCTCATTGGTCAGTTTTCATAAGAGAATTAGTTGTGATTGATTGATTGATTGATGGTTTCTAGGCAACAACTTCTGCACACACAGGTTTAGCTCAGGTCTGCAGCATGGGAACCTACAGTAGTGAGCTACAGTGTGTCACACCTGTGACTTCAGAGGGAGAAGGATCTCCTGCAAATGTTGATGCTGACGATAACACAGCAGCGAGGTGCTAAATATCATGACAGTATTTAAAGAAAAAACAAACACATTAACATCTAATTAGAAAGCCTTAAGGTGGCCTTTAAAAACCAAGATGCTTAGAAAAACATAATCACATCCAACTAACTGCACAGTGAAATGAATTTAGAAATCATTTAACTTTTAACTGTATTCACTAAATCAGCTTTATTAATGGTTATTTATTGATTGCCTTTATTAATGCTCTTTTATCATTCATATTTATTTCCTCTTTTTCTCTCCACTGTGATTTTATTCTCTGTTCTTTATTTATGAAAAAGATTTAATTGAAGCAATTTCTGAAAAGTGCCACAAAAATATCACTTCTAATTATCATAATCAGCAGCTGAATATTTCCTGATCATTAACAGACAAAAAAAATACCAGTCACACCTCCGGGTGTTTAACACTAACCTGTTTCCTGGATGCCCTCTTTGCAATTCTCTCCGCTTCTTGTTCCTCCCGCTTATTGTCCTCCCGCAGCCCTGAGGTGGAAGGTTGCTCATCTCCAGCAGCCGGTTTCCCCCCGTCCTCCGCCTCATCCGTCTTACCTTTAGTCTTCTCTTTACTTTTGAGGACAACAGAGGTAGATTGGAGATCATTTGATGATGAGGTAGAAGGTCCAGATTCAACCTTGGTGAGGATCTGCCTCTTCTTGGCAGTATGCTGCCTGAGTACCGTGCACAGCTCATTGATGTACACAAATGTTTTCGAGCGGTTGGCCTGAGCGCGAGTCAGACATCGTCCCAGGGTGTTCCTGAACTCCACGGATGACAGGTAGTCGGGCGAGGCCTTGGCATGTTTTGCTTGTAGGAAGGTCAAGACCTCGGGGCAGTCCTGCGTGACAGCCGAGCAGTGCTCCACAAACTGGAGGGAAGCAGAAAAGAAACCAAGAAGGGTGAGAAGACGAGATGACACGAGGAAAGAGGAAGGACAAAGGCAGGGGGAGGCAAAAAATATATATCAATAAATAAATAATAATAACGGCACATACAGGAACAGCACATTGTGATTTAGGTTTTTCCAGTTCACATCCTGTTTCAATCTATTGTTAACATAATTACAACTCTCTGGTATTGTGACTTTGTCTATAGTTAAGACGGTTGTTTGCACATCAACAAAAACTTCAGCGTGTCAGATGCTGGGTACAATCATCCAATAGCGCAATAAAAAGTAGATTTAGCAGTATTAGCACGCTGGAATAGCCTTCACACTGATTGGTAAAATGTCAACAATAACGCCGTTTCCAGAAGAAAGCTTTTAATTCCACCATGTATATTCATTTTCATTTTATAAAATGTCACTAATGTAACCAGGGTGAGAAATGAACACAGCTACCAATGTATTCATTTAAGCAAGTAACCAACTATCATTTGGAGATCCTAAGTGATGTGGATGGTTTGTAGAAAAGTAATGTAAGATGGTGAATACTGGAAAAGACGAGGAACTTTGGCCAATGGAAAAAAAACAAAAACAAAACAGTCCTTTTGTGCCTCTTAAAGTAAGCGTACCTCAGTGAACAACCTCTCATTCTCTGCCTGGAGAACATGGGTTTGCTTCTTCGCTGAGGCAAAGGGTGACTGGGTAATGTGGGTGGGGGCCGGCTGCGGCAATTTGAGTGAGGACACATTTTTGGCGTGATGCTCAGAGGACGAGGTGGAGGCAGCGCGGGAGGGTTGAGGAATCTCCTCGTCGTCATCATCAAGGACTATGATCTTATCCGCCATCGAGGCGGGAGCCACCGCCATACAAAATGTAGGTTGTTTCTGCTTTTTCGGAAAATACAAACAGTGAGAATACATCAGAAAGCATCAGACAGTTGCAACCATGAGATCAGGCAAACAATATGAACGCTCTAGTGACTCAGTGGAAATATATGATGAGAAACTGTGGTGGGAGCAATAACAACTTTGATTACTCCAAGCTGGGTTACGGACGCTGACATTAAAATTCCCTTTTCAGCACTCTAATGTGAATGAAATTAACAGAGCTGCAGCGATTACTTAATTAATCAATCAGTCCAGATTAACCAACAATTATGGATGATAACTGAATAATTGTTTTAGTCATTCTTTAACAACAAAAGCAACAAATGTTTTGATTTCAGCTTCTGAAATGTGAATATTTGATGTTTGTATTTGTCATATATGATGGTAAACTATCATTGACAAAGCAAAACATTTAAACACTGAGGAAATTTTTCATTATTTTCTGACATTTTACAGAAAAAAACAATGAATTGAAGATAGAACTGATAGTAGAACCACCTGTTAGTTGCAGCCCTAAGAATTAAATACTTTTCTGTCACGCTGATCAGATCTTGTAAACAGTGTTGAACTCTGAAGGATAGGGCTGGGTATGGTTTTTAATTTTTCATCACTAAACACGATACATGTTTCTACTGATGTCAAGATAATAAGTTTATTTGATACTTTAGAGCCTGTTACTCATTTCACACATTCAGTGTTTATGTGTTACAGAAATCATCAGTCGTATAGAGTATAAACAGAAACAAAAATCATTTGACATAAATGTAGCAGTTAATCTATTAATCAATTGACATTAAAAAAAATAACATACAGTAATTTTTATAACTTATTTCTCATTTTCATGTTTTTTCAAGCAACAATGTCCAAGCTTTTCAAAATAGAAGATATGATAGTTAACTGAATATTTGGGGGGAGGTGGACTGATGCTCTGACAAAACAAGCAGTTTAAAGACACTAGCTAGGGCTCTGGGAACCTGTAACTGGCATTTTCACTTTTCTACTTCATGTTAAAGACCAAATGTTTGTAGAGAAAGTAGTACATCAGAGTGCCCTCCTGTATCTGGGTCCCATTCCCCTAACAAACACCCCGACACTAACGAAGAGAAACACGGCCACATGCTTGTGAATTCAGCCATGATGCTCTAACACTGTTGCTTCAATCAAGACCGAGCAAATGAGCTTTTTAACATCAGAATGATGTTGTGTATATCATGAGAAGCGAAACCAACAGGAGCGTCTGCCTGTAAGTGAAACTAAACAGTGGAGTGATCGAGCTCGATGACAGTACGTAACAGAACAGACGGAAATTCAAACAAAAGCAGTCTTAAAGAAAGAATTGTTTCCACCGCCACGAGTCGTGACATACTCACACATACTCACCTGTTGTTTAAGAGCAGTTTAACTTGACAACAAAGGAGGATGAAGCTCCGCTACAATGCATCGTTAAATACTGTGTTAAGAGCTAACATTAGCATTAGGCAGCTAGTTAGCGCTGGGACTTTGCTAAGTAAGAAAATAACGAACCAGTAGAAAAGTTCGCATGCTGTTTTTTACTTACGTAACTAATTGATTGGACTAATAAATCCGAGATACTCTTAAAAGTGTGTTCTAAATCCCGCGGACTTTCTGTTTACCAAAACAATGCTCATCAACTTGGCTATGCTGTCGACTCGGGATCGTAAATGTACCCGCTAAAGTCCTATCAACAACAATGCCTCTGATTGGTTGATAGTCAGTAATGTTGACAGCCATTGGATGACTTGATCCGGTTGAGAACCACTGATACATGTGTGATGCGTTCAAGTCAACGGTAAATTCGTAAACTTCTGAGTGGATCCGTCCGAGTTCTCATGATCATCATGATATCAAAAACCAATTATCAACTTTTCCAAATTAAAATGTCTAAAATGACTAGACCTATGTTATATATATTTTTGAGTTATCTACTTACATTACCACCCAAATGGGAAATGCATACATTGTAACTAGTCGACCATGTAGCCTACTGCTTTATTGTAGGATACACAATACAAAGAGGAATCATCTTTTTCAGTCATAAACGAGGCAAAACACTATGATTTTTCATTGTCAGGTCTCTTGGGGGACTCTGCAATAAAGATATATGATGACATTATTACATCTATAAACGAAATAGGAATGAATGTAGCATTTTATTTTATTTTATTTTATTTTTCTGCATAATCTCCTGATCCACACTCCATCCCCGGTGTGTTTATATGGAGACAACACCTCTTTGGATAATTCAGCTGCTGGTAAAAACCTCCTGAATGTCTGGTTCATAAGTTATTGAAGAAACAAAGGTAAGCAGTCTCAATTTCCAGCTACTCCAAGACATCATGTGTCTACCGAAAAGCGTCGGTGAATCAATCAATTTTTTTTTTAAAAGTAATTTTTATCTTTTATTCAGATAGTTACAGTGACAGAGACAGGAAAGTCAGGGTCATGGGTCTGGATCATTTTTTCTGAGTCGGAGTTTGTAATTTCTGACCTTCCGATGTGTCATAAATGCAGCATTAGATATTGTTTTTTAAAGATCGATTTGATATTATTAAAGGGTTACACGAAACCTAAAAATTAAAATTACCTGAACGATTATATTTCCAATTTACATGCTGAATTCAGGACATAAGCAAATGAATCATAAATGAAATTTGAAAGACATGTAGAAAACTATTGTTGCGTTTGCAGTTAATGGCATTAATCTCAAATAAAACAAATTTGTTGTTGTCTCACAATCCGACAGATTTTAATAGCTTACATGTGTTTATTATATAAAATATGAATATTTGATTATTTCATGACTGTACTATTTCATAGTAGTATATATCATTAAAATAAGATGTCAATTAAACAGTATAATCATAAAATATATCATAATTCATTATGTATGTACATACAATCCTGTCTATTCAGTGTGATATATTCTCATTTCAGGTTAATACCATTGACTGTATATAAAAAGATAAATACTCAAAAACAAAACTGCAGGCTCACCATGTCGTTTTATTCTGAAAAGGTCAACGGAAGTCACCTTATCTCATTAATGCTAGCTTAAGTTTTACCTCTTTTGATAATCAGACATGACCTATAGGTTTTTTCAGCAGTGTAGTCATTTTATATTTTATTCCTCTCAAACTTTGCAGTGTGGTCTTTTTGATTTAGAAACATGTAATTCCAGCTGATACCACAGCCATTACAGTTTGTTATAATTCTTCCATATACATTTATGTAAGACACCTTCCCCACTACCCTGTCAAAATGTGATGAGACAGTTTCAGGTTACTTTTACACAATCTGGCACACCTGCGTGTTTGAGAAGAGACTCGTTTACAAGAAAGAAGAAACTGAATGCAGAATGATTTAAGAACTATTTTAATTGTATCCATAATGGAGACTTCAATTATCAATTTTAAATATTTTAAAATTTCAACATAAATTTTGAATTTTCTCTCCAGTAGAATTATGTGCTCTGTTTGTACCATTATCTCCCCATTTCTATCTCAGTTTTATTTTTGATTTAGCCCAGGGTGTCACCTCAGTTTCACTAATGGATAGAGCATCATTCCTACTATAGTCTGCACAACATCCACACACACACACACACACACACACACACACACACACACACACACACACACACACACAAATAAAAATAAAATAAAAATAAGCAACATGTGATGCCAAAACCGCCACAATGCACAAATAAAATTTTTTAGAATATACATTATAGGTCACGTATTTACAAAAACAGGATTCAGTTTGCAAGTTTGGAAAGTTTAGTAAAACATTGATTGACTGACACACTGACACACACACAACAACACACACACACACACACACACACACACACACACACACACACACACACACACACAGACACACAGCTCTGGTCTTTCAGTGGTGATATCTTTGGATCGTGAGCACAGGGAGCATAATCTCAGTCTTCTCCAGTGTTTGTGTAAAAGCACAGTATACAAACAGTGGGAGGCCAATACATTATTTCAATACATCACTTTACAGAAGAAGAAGAAAAATCTCCCTGCTATCTAATTCCTGCCTATTATTACTAGCTGAGCAAGATAGTGAAAACAACAATTCAAACAGAAATGAATGAGTGTGAGCTCGAGCAGACGTCCCACCGAATCTGTAAAAAAAAAAAACCTCTGAAAGTAAATGTTGACACAGATTTATCACAAAGACAGACGTAAGTGATGTCATCAACAGGAGGACAGTCCTGAAACCTTCATGTAGGAGATGAGAACAGACAGGTTTGGTGGCTCAGCATCACACCTCCACATCAGATGACTTCGTTCTTCTTTACTTCTCTTTCTGTAAGAGGAGACGTGCAAAACACAGATGGAATATTTATGTAAATTCAGATTCAGATTTATAAAAGTTGTAATATTATTAGTATTTAAAAAAGTTACCTTATCTTGTTTATCAGCCTCATCGGAGCCTAAAAACAGTCAAAGAAACAAAGATTAACAGTTAGACACAAACATTTACACACTATCGTCATATCTTTAAACTATAAAAAACACTATTTCATTTTCTTAATATTGTAACAAGCCTATTTGCAGCTTGACATAATTGAATGGGTGCAGATAATTAACGAAAACATGAAAAATGATTAATAGTGTCAGTGTACAGAGAACTCTTCTGGTTAGTTGTTGCTGTATTATTCGATACCTGAGCTGATAAATGTCCAGGAGACAAACTTGATGAGACCGTAGAGCACTAGTGCCACACCGACCATTGCCATCGAGTCCTCAATGGAGGGAGTACTGAACCCTGGAGAGGAAAAATACAGAATTCAACTCTTAACAGATTCTTATTTATCTGATGTGAATCTTTGTTTTCAATCTTAGGACTAAAATCATTTATTTAACCATCAACATTCAAACTTTACAGAACTGTTACCACTTTTACCTCAACATAAAAACCCATGTCTCAAACTAACAAACCAAATTCTTCCACATTACCGATGACACTGAGGGCGGTGCTGGCCCGTCGCGTGCCTCCAGGGTGGACAGCCACACAGGTGAGCTCTCCTCCTCTGCCCAGGTCCATTTTAGAGGTGTCGAGCTCCAGCCGGGAGCTCTGGCTGTAGGTGCCATCCCAGGCCTGCCTGTGGCCCGTTACGCTGCCGGCTCCCAGGGCCCTGGACTTCCCATCTGCGCCTTTAAACTCCCAGCTCAGCTCCAGGGAGAGGGGGGCAAAGCCGGACGCCTCACACTGGACGGTCAAGGTCTGTCCGGGAACAGCGAGGGGCAGAGGGGAGGGGTGGATGGAGAGGGAGGGAGGTTCTGGGTAGAAAGAGGAAAGAGCGGCAAGTTAATTTATGTTACTCAACACTTTTTCATCTTACTGCTCATTTTCTAACAGAGTCATGTGTCTTGGTGATGTTTGAACGCAGAGACTGTGCGGTGGCCCAGCCAGGTTCATCACTTTTTAGTGTCCCCTGGAAACACTTCCTTCCTCTGTGTTGTGATTTTTTTTTTTTTGCAGCTCATGTTATTGTCAAACTGATGAAGATGTTTTCTGAATTTGCAGTGCGTTTGTGTCTTTGCATGTGTTTTCTTAAGCTGCGGTGCATTGAGCTCTCAGTGTCACCGTCAACATGGACAGAGGATGAGGATTGGTGGATGTAAGCGTATTTCCTCTGTCCGACATCGTCTCCAGACTCGAGTAATTTGTCAAAAATGCTTCAAAAACTACGATTCTTTTTTCCCCTCACCTACAATCTCAAGCTCCAGCACCACCTGAGCCAGGAGGTAGGGCAGATACACTGTGCAAATGTACGTCCCGGAGTGACGCACTTTAGCCTCCTGCAGGATCAGGGATGCATTTCCTTTCTCGTGCAAACCCTCGATGTCCAGCGTGGCCCCTTCCTCCTGCGTGTCAGCCAGGCGGTCTGTCTTGCCATCGTAAGCCAGAACAAGTCGTCCGTTGCCTCTGAACTGGTAGCGCCACTCGACGGCGAAACCCAACCCGGACAGAGGCGAAGAAGGGTCGACCCAGAAGCCACAGTCCAGCAGCACCGGCTTCCCGAGTCTGGCCTGCACCGAGACCGTTTTACTGGTCACGCTCAGGATCACTGAGGAGACAGACAGTGAGGAGAGGGAGGGAGAGAGAGAGAGAGAGAGAGAGAGAGAGAGTCAAACTACAGCGTACGACTGAGGTGAGATGAACTCTTTCGGTTTTTTGTGATCATTACCATTGTGCTCTTTGGTTGCTGTGGGAGCACGCATGATACTCGAAATGCCCCGCTCTTTGTTGATCCCATGTAGCGCGGCTGAAAACCAATCAGCTTGTAGGTATATGGGGCTGAAGGCGGAGTCTGTGAGGGGAGCAACCCATTTGAGGGTGGAGGGCTGCGGCAGGAAGGGGTTGATCTCACACTGGGGCTTTTGGATGGAGCCTCTGGGAGGGCTGAGAGAGTGGTGGCAGAGAGTGGCAGCTGGGTCTGAGGACAGAGGACATCCATACATTGTCATGGCGTAGGTTCATACACAGTTCACAGATGCACGTTTTGTTTATATGGAATTTGACAAGATAATTGTTGCTTGATCTAAAGGTGGAGATGATGGAGAGATAAATGTTGAACGTTTTTTAAAAGAAAACCACTAAAAACAGATGTGCAACTATGTTCATAACAATAATTTCACTGAACAACACTTATATATCTGTCTGTCTGTCTGTCTGTCTGTTTAGATCCCATTAGCTTTTGCATTGCAGCAGCTATTCTTCCTGGGGTCTAAACGGGTCTGATGTTGACAATACAATCATACATATTCACAGTGCTCACCACAACACAATAATACATATAACACATAATAATAATAATAATAATAATAAGTGACTCAACAAACACAAAGAAAATAAAACAGCTCTGACTGAATCTATCATTATCAAACAGGTAATTATCATCCTACAAAAAAGCCCATGACACTATACACAAAATTATACGTCTTAGGTAATGCTCTTTAGTGTTTAAAAAAAACAAAAAAAAAACATACATAGTATTTCTTTCTTTCTTTCTTCAATATGATTTGGGAGTGAATTACATTCCTGCATTTCTGGATTGATGTGGTTTTAGATTTTGGTAAAGTAAAACAACGTCCAGTAGCCTTGTTGAATAATTGTGTAGACTTTTACTAAAGGATCATTTTTCATAAAGAATGCATGGAGTCCTTGTTGTTATGACGTTCCCATAGGAGACCATCAATTATTACAGCATCTAACCAGTCATTCATGCAACATTTGTTCTCAACCCACAAGAAAGAGCAACATGTGCTGCTTGATTCTGAACACGTTGTAATTTTACCTAATGAAGTATTAGACCAAACAGCTGAGCAATAATCTCAGTGAGTTTTATAGTTGTAGGAATAGAGTCGTATAATTTACCTTCCAGTAAGACTGCTGCCACACTTACTGTAGATACACACAGTTAAAAGCACAGAGGGTGAACCCACACACATGCATTCATGCAAAAATATATGTCAGACACACATAAAGCACAATACACACGCACATACATTTAGATGAACATGCTGATGCACATCCTGTTCAGTCATTCTGAACTAACCTGTAATGAAGTAGACTCTGTCAGGGCTGATGTCGGATGGAGCTCGCTGGGTATCTGAGCTGTGGCTGTTGGCGTCTGTGCTGATGTGAAGCAGGGATTTCTCCTGGGTTGTAGCTGCAGTTAAACCTCCTCCTCGCCCTGCCTTCTCCTGCACAAACCAGCACTCCAACACCGGACAGCTGCTGCTGCTGCTGCTGCTGCTGCTGCAGGCTTTAGACAAAGGATTTAACAAGAAACTGACAATTACTAAAAAAAAACTGTGAAACATGAGTATAATAATCAGATTACACTGTATTCTGATATTATGTTCAATAGCTGCTTTTATTCTGTGGTGGCATTTCCTCAATATTTACCAATGAATCAGAATTTTGCAAAACAATGAACTTACTTTTGTTTTTAAATGAGGCATGCTGCAGTAGTTAAAGTCATAGGAAATACAAAATATAGAGGTAGATTATAACTACACTTGAGTGTAAAATGATGCATAAAGCCTTGTAGGAACATATTGAACTCTGGCAGTTAAAAGTAAAAGTAAAAGCCTGATTCTTGTGGCTTTTTCTCTCAATCGTCTTGCTTTCACTTTAATCGCCTGATTTTTGAATGTTTGAACTTCGAAGATGTCTGATAAAATAAGAAGTAGGATGTATGTTCTAGGAAATTAAGCCTATTTTTCCCCAATTTATTTTCTCTATATGTTATTTACGCCCACGTTTATTACAGGACTGTCATACACTGAGCGCTGGGTTTGATAACTGTTTCGGCCACAAGGGGGCGTGGACTACTGCGCTGAACGCTTCACACCAAACTCCATTCAGAAATTCACCCACATTTAAAAGCTTTAAAATTAATCTGACATCGATCTAAGGATTTAATCAACACATTTAACCACCTGGCCATGTCTTACGCTAAATTCGGCATAGGTGTGATTCACAATGACTCACATATTACTATATTTTAATGGCCTGAAACTTGGAGTACAGTTCGAGTTGTTTTGCACACTTTCATCCCAAAGTATTGTACACAGCTGTTCTGCTATACTTCAATTATGCCGAAAAAACGCATGACTCCTCTGTATATGTAAAACATCTTATTTAATATTCTCCAAATATGCTGCAACCAACTATATGCAAATTAACATTAGATACGCCAATTTTTAATGGAGATTGGATCAGGTTTCGATTACATATTACAGGAGAACAAGCTACCACGTTCGGCTTATAGCGTTACACACACTGTTGACTTATGCATAAAAATTGTTTTTTTTCTGTTTCGTGTAATTTAACAGAGCAGCAAAGCGGACGTGTCGAAAGGTTAGCCTACCTTGGATGAAGCAGGTAACAGCGACCAGGGACAGTTTATAAATAGTAAAAAAGTTCGTCATGGTTTTATGTCTCCGCTCTGCTGTCAGAAACTATTCGCTGCTGTTAACACACCGACTAAAGTGAGTTCAGATGGTGGTTTCCCCCTGCAAATCCAGGTTCATTTTAGTTTCACTTTCACGCACATCGAATCTGTCAAGTTAGCCAGAAAAAAAATACAACTTCCGGTAATAATTTCAAAAATAAAACCGCAGTAATCAACTTGTAACGATTTCAAAGGGAAAGTTATAAAATGTTATGAGGGTGAAATTGACAGGAAACTAAAACAGACAAACACTTTACTAGAACTTGAAAGCAAAAAAGCATAAGAAATCCAAACTGCACACTGATGGTTTCCCAGCTCTACAGTAGATGGCGCCCTCTGACAAGCAATAATCACCCAGGACTTGGTCCGGACATGTTTACGTCTCCTTCCTTTGCCTCCTTGGTCTGTTCTTCTGCAAAGAAATATCCTGCAACTCAGCTGTTTTTATTTTCCATCATAGCTCCGGTTGGTTAGAGTGTGTGCATGCCTGGTTTATTGATAGTACGACTCATTTCATTCAGAAAAGGGAGATTGTACTGAGAAACAAGTGAACATATGAGGCTACAAGCCTTCAGGAAGAGTATCCAGCCTGAGGTCAGACGAGGACAAGAGAAACAGAAACAAGGTCTTGAACAACCCCCAAAATACCCACACATGAAACTGTAAAGCTTTTGGTTTTTATCTCGGCGAGATAAGTTACCATCACTCCAGCCAAAAAGCTTTATTTCCCCCCACAGACACATCTTTTCATTGTTGTAAACTAAATACAACACATGAAGTTCACAATCCTCATGTTTAGTTCATCCATAGTTGGGTAACTTGATTCTATTTTGATATGCAAATTTAGTTTTTATGATAAGTTTTTATTGGGTTATTTTCCTTTTACATGATGCAGTTTCTTAATTGTAAACACTTTATTTATGCTATTCCAGTCGAACATGACTCAAGTTTTGCTAATGTTCATCTTTGATCATGTTTGTGCATAAAGTATTTCCCTGGACACAGGAGGAATGTGGCAAAACAAGGAGGACAACAAGCTTCAAATGAGACAAACCACCGTGACCCGCTCTTTCTTCCTGGACTGAGCGCCAAAATTTACAAAGTCATGCCAGGCCTCTGTGTCATGTAGAGAGAAACAAAACCTAACAGACTCATCATGTGACTTCCCAGAAACAGGGATGTGCTGCTTCTGCCTGGTGGTGGAGCTCTAACACTGTTGCTGCTGAAAGCATGTCTCTGTCCATAGTTGCAGATCACACCAGGTTTGTTGCTCCTCCTCATGCCAGGAGCAGGAGGCTCGACAGAGAGACAGAGGAGAGGAGTTTACTGAAGTTGTATTGTGTGAAGGTTCAGATACTCATGACTGTCTGCCTGTTCCAGATATTTAAAGTATGTCGCCACCGTGAGAGTTTAATTTGTGTTTAAAAACAAATGTTAGAACCAAATCAACAGACTATTAAGACTCATAACATGGTGTATCTTCTTCTCTAAATGCCCATTGGATAGAATAATAAGATCTGTATATTAGTAATCACCTATCCACAGTCAGTTTGTTTTGTAGTGACTGCCGGGTCAGAGAGAGAGAGAGGGAGAGGGTGTTTGTGTGTCTGCCATTTCATAACAACAAAGGAAGTCACAAAATGGCAGCACGCTATGAGTGACAGCACATATTTGTATGGGTGTGATACTGCGTGCATCTTAGTTTAGAAACTTAACCACACAGCTTTGCTGTAAAGAAATCCTCTCCAGGGTCGGAGCTCTGTTCAGTTACTGTTGTTATTCTCATTTGCAGACAAATACTTTCTCACACCGGACAAGCAGGAGAACATGATGCAATGTTGAAATTCAGACATCAGGAGCTTCACTGACGGATTGAACAACCCAATAACAGTGGGGATGCTTTAAAATCAGACAGAGACAAATCCAGTTGGAGGAAAAGAAAAATGAGATTTTAGAAGAACATGTGCCATCAGACATTTGCACTCCTGCAGTACACTCCTAAGTTGCAGATTTTAATTTTAACATCCTAGATTCCTTCTTTTGACTTTGCTTTTTAGTGTAAATAAAAAACTAGAGAACTACTGATGTTCTCTGTCAAACATAGGCTGACATGTACTATTACAATATATATCATCGTATAAGTTCAAGTTTAGGTACTCTTGAGTAAATAAACCCAGAATTAGTCTGCAGTTTAAATTTTGATTATACATTTTTCACAAAAGTTGCTTTGTGTTTTTATAGCCTGTGTTTTCATGGTTTTGTCCAGTTATGTTTTGTGTCTATTATTTCTTCATTTCCTCCACCAGTGAATGAGGTGGGAGCAGCTCCAGTCACTAATCTGCTTTAAAATAACTTCTTTAATCTGGTTTTAAATATACAATTTGGGCGATGTTGGTGGTGTTTTGGACACTGATGATGTTGGACACTGATGATGTTGGACACTGATGATGTTGGGTGGCTGTGGCTCAGGTGGTACAGCGGGTTGTCCACTGATCTGGGTTGGCGGTTTGAACCCTGGCTCCTCCTGTCCTGTCAAAACACTGAAACCCCAAGTTGCTCCTGATGGCATGTCTGCTCTTTGGTGTGTGAGTGAGTTTGTGTGTGTGAATGTGACTTGTAGTGTAAAGTGTTTTGAGTGGTTGGAAAGAATAGAAAAGTGCTATATAAATGGAGTCCTTTTAATTTTTATTTACCAATCAGTGAAGAAGGTTCAAAAGTGGGTTCTCCTCCTGGATCAACTCCAGCGTCTCTCCTGACCGCTTCCCAGGACTGCGACTGTAATTAAACATGTTTACTCATACTGTTTTTACATATAATTTTGAGATACTTGACTTGAGTATTTTTATTTTATGCCTCATTCTGCTTCTAATCCACTACATTTCATAAGGAAACATTTTACTTTTTTACTGCACTTAGTTACTTGTTAATTTTGAGGCTAAGATTTTACATTTCAAAACATACGATAAGCTTATAAAATGCAACATTGTTAAAGCACATCAAACCAGTGGTTCTGGACCTATCTGGTATGTGACACCTGAAAAACAAAGCATCTCGTTTGGGCCCATGTTTCAGATGGCTGTAAGCTGTTGTTAGCAGTCTCTAAACCTCAAGATGTTTTCATGTAAATAACTGTTGAAGGCTCAGTGCGACAGAATTATCCAATATTTTACAAAACAGCAACAACCACTGTTTTAAACTACTGAACTGTATATGATGAAATAGATAAACCCACTACACATTAAACAGCAACGATGCATCAGTATTCATTTTATAATATCATATGTTAAAATATATATAAACATATATACATATATATATATATTATATATATTTGTACTGTATATCAGTCACAGGGGCCGTAGTGAACTCCACTTCTACCACTGTTGACAACTTGACTGATCAGTTCTTTCAATTTCATGTCCTCAGGTCTTCAGACTTGAGAACTCTAGTCGAGTGTTCAGACTAGATTGCAATACTGAACATATGCAACTTCGTCCTGTCAACATTACTGTTTGGATTGCTTGGTACATTGTCTTATTGTCAGGAAAGTTATATTCATCTGTAAAGAACTTCTAAACTGTAAACATGTTTAGTTCATGTAGTTGACGTGACAAGTTCATATTGGAATAAGCTTCTGTTGTAAATTCAGCAGAAGATTTTCAAATCAAGGCTTAAAACTCTCTTTGCTTCCTCAGATCCACTGCTTAGGGAAATGCACAACTGCAACTGCCCTACCTCTAAAAACCTGTATCCCCTACTTTGTTGCTGGGTCCCTGTGTGTGTGTGTGTGTGTGTGTGTGTGCGTGCGTGTGTGAATTTGTGTCTGTTACTTCAGTTTGTCTCTTTTGTTTTTATTCATATTTCTGTCAGTTTTTCAGTGTGTTACTTGTTTTTATTCGACCTGGAGTGTGTAGAAACTCACAATATGTTACACTATTAAAAACTGAAGTTGCTATGAAGTAAATCGCCTACAGTAATACAGCTGTGTTTAGACAATAATGTGCTTAAGTCGTATTGAGACCATGGATTGTTATGATTATTGTGTGTTTCCTGTTTGTCTCCTGTTATTTGTTCATATGATTCTTCTGCCCTGTAAGTTTCGTTTCCACTAACAACCTATTTTCTATATTTCGCCCAGTTACACGTGACGCACACCTAGATTTGAATTCCTAATGGTCAGAATTAAGCTGCTGCGCATGTTACTTTCATTCAGGCTGTGTCTTTGGAAATAACGAGACCGATCGTCGGTCGATCGTGGCGAAGTTCAAATGAATTGATTTTAATTTTCTTTCCTGGGTTCTTTGTCAGCTGAAAATGAGGGCAGTTGTTTTGTCGCTGTTGCTGTGTCACGCTGCATCTGCAGGTAAGATTAATAAAAACTTGAATCGCTGTTACTGAACGTTAAAGACGATGCGTTGAGCTACCGTTAAAGCGGAAGTAAACACCGTCAGACCTTTTCTTGGTTACATACGTAACTCGCATCATGTTTATGTAGAATAACTAAAGATTACTTCATAATACTCAATATGTCTAATTTTGAAGTAAAAATAAAAATGACATATGTATCAACACTTTACTTTGTCAGCATGTCAAATCCCGTCATTAGAACGTGACCGACTTGGGATACAATTATCTACTTTTACACTTTTGGGGATAAAGTCATTTGTGACCATGAGAACTACAGTGCTGAAGTCTTTTTGTATCAGTTTCGTTGTTGTATAGTTTGACTTAAGGTGAAAAAGAAGCGAGTGTGTGTTTGAAAATAAAACAGTGCTGTACTTAAAACATTGTTAAGGAGACTGTGACATCTGTTTATGAAATGTTGTACAGTCCTTTTCGGGAGTTTACTGCAGTTCCAGTCTTGTGTTTTTAAGTTTGGTTGTGGTGGGGTGGTATTTTAGATTTGACCTTGTTTGGTGGTGTTTGTTGTATCATTAAGAAAATAATATATTTCAGGTCAGGACTCAAATTATCATTATTATTAGTAGTTAATTTTCAGTTTTAGTTTACTTCAAAGTGTTTTTTGTGGTCTCTTTTACTGTGTCTCTTGAAGTCATTATTCACTAAT